ACAAACGCTGGAGTTAATATTTGATATGCCGATTTTCGCTAATTTTAGACACATCCCAAAATATGCTCCCGATTTTGAACATTAATATCTCGGTGAATTTTTAAGTAAAATACAACTGTAATATATCAAAATCTAAGTTAGTCCTTCCTATATGTAATGCAAGTTATTTCTGTTTGATAGCATTACTTGTTTAGAAGTTATTATAAATCAAACAGGAGTACTTTTTTTGGGACACCCGTATAAGTCGAAATCATTGTAATGGTGTAAGGTGTAAATCTACCTTAAAACGGTGCCCACTGGGCTGCAATGAATTTACGCCACTTTGGTGTTATAACTACAGCTGGAAATTGTGTAAATCTACATTTAATTAGTGTAATTGCATGTGTAAGGTGTTAATTTAAACTAAATCGGTGTCCACTGGGTTGCAATAAACTTTCAAAATTTTGGTGCTGTAGCACACCCAGAAATTCAGAGTGCAGATCAAAAAATCAATACCATGTGTCCAAGTAATGACCCCGAATCAATATGCCGATATGAATAATTTTATGATTGTGTTGCATCAAGTACATCCAGTCTTTATGAGATAGTCTACAGCATATATAATGAATATTACTGTACGTGTTATAAATAAAGCGTGATAATGAAAAAGTGTTCAATGGAGTTTAAATTAGTTTTGCATAGTTTTCAGTACTTTTTTCTGGCTATGGAAATCTACACTACTGTATTAGAGTGACTTTACAGGACAATTGATTATAAAGTATTTCAGTTGATTACCAATTTTCCGTTTATGGCTGTTGGTAACTCTAATTATATCTGTCTCGAAGAGAGCAGTAAAATACTCAGAGCAGAGTAGTGGAATATAACACAATAGATTAAATTTCCATAACGGTCATTTCTGTGAGATATATCGATTTAGCATATACTCTAGAGGTGGATAGCGCTTTTCTCGCAATGTGATTAGTTGCTCATCTCCGGGTATCCTTGCAATATTCACCTCCGACCAAATTAATTTATCTTCCCATTTTGCTCCAGTTGCAGACCAGCAAGTCTTTTTACTAATATAAACGAAGTTGTAAGTATTTCTGCCAAACACAACGTCAACGGATTAGCTACAAATTCTTGTTTAACAGTGTGTAGAAGTTTTCTTAGAACTATTTTTAGTGCGTGAAACTAAGTAAAAAACTTGTAAATGCTGTTTTGTTTACAACTATTACTGTAGTTGCAATACAAATCAAAAATATTTTCTTTGTTTTTTTGTAATCATGATTTGCATGATAGGGTCGTTTTGCTTTGTCATGGCATACAATTATTTACCTTCAGTGTCGGTGCATGAATAGTGCCAAGAATATTCACCTCGACGCTCGCGTCTTTGTGAATACTTTGCACTATTAATCTCCAGTTCGGTGAATAATTTTTAGATATACATGAAAAGCAATGAAGATGTGGAAAGGCCTGGTGTGACATAAACATTATTTTCTACTAGCTTTCCGTAAATAAGCTACATAGACATGTTATATGTCTCCTTGTTTGTCAATGAAAGAACTGCCAAATATTTTATACTCGCTGTAACCATAATTGCATGCGTGATAAAAGAATTCTAAAGTTGCCGTCCTTTTATGGAACGCAAAACTGCATTTCATCGGGACAAATTTAAATACTTGAAGTAGATTACAATTCGATAACCAGGTTCGAGTCAATTTGAGTATTGTTTACCGTGCTTGTTCAAAAGGACTCCGTTTTGAGAGATTTTTGGCTTAGGCAAATCACTTGGTAGTAAAAACTGTCAAATTTATTGCGATGAAAAAATTTACGAAAATTTCTAGAGATATTTCTAATTAACTTAGTGCTAGCTAACTTGCCTCCAAAATGAAATATAAGAAATGTTAATCAAAACGAAATGTACATCAGGTTTACCGTCAAACATTGATTAATTAGATATTCCTTTTTTAATTTATCTACTTTATGAATTATTGAATTTTAAAACAACTATATAATTAGCATTCATTGGAAGCAAGGGAAGTGGACCAGAGTTTTTCTAACTGGTCTAGAACCTGTATATGAGTTTGTAAGTGTTTCATTTAGCACAGGCAATCTCAATTGTTTTAGGGTAAAATGACCATGGCGGTCAACATGGCATATGTACCAAAATCTGTATCCGGGACAAAAGGGAGGCTTGTCGCGCGGGGGTGGGGAGTTTTTCAAGCTTTTTTAAAAAAATAGTTTTTAAAAAAGTTTTAAAAAAAAATTAAAAGAGCTTTAAAAAGGAAAAAAAGTTTAAAAAGTTAGATTTTTAAAAAAGTTAAAAAGTTAAAAAAAGTTAAAAAAGTTAGGGTTAGGGGTTAGTGGTTAGTGGTTAGTGGTTAGTGGTTAGTGGTTAGTGGTTAGTGGTTAGTGGTTAGGTGTTAGTGGTACTCACTGTGTTAGGTGCCGCGAATTTATTATTATGATAAATTCAAAATTTGCCGCGAATTTATCATAATGATAAATTCGGACGTGTTTAAGAATTTACTCATATAGTAAATTCAAAGGTGGAGCTCATGCTGAAATATTACTTTCTTTGGTACAAAATTTGTACCAAGCACATGATTGATTAGTTATAATTAGCAGTCACATGAAGTGATGTCATGATCAGAGAACATGACGTAGAAAACAAATACAGAAATATGTATTAAACGCATGCTCCAAAAATGCTTTATCTCAATATTTTATAAGGAGGGGAGGGGGGGGGGCGGAATAGCAATTACTTTGTGTGGGCACAGGTGTTGGGTTATTTGAGATTAAATCAGTTTGTTCTGCTGCTAACATCTGAGATATGAACTCACTGCTTAAAAATAGTTTCTGCGCAAAAGAGTTGCATGCCACCGCGGCGTGACTTGAGTTGACGGCATGACATGTTCACTCTATTACTACAATATATTTAAAATATAAAGTGTTGCTTAATATGATAGTTCAAGGTTTTAAATTTTTATTATTTTTTTTTTAATATTTTTCGCCCAAAATACTACATTTACAAGGAATGGATATATATAAGAAATGGGCTAGGAGCCTACTATAGAAACCGCATGGCTTTTTTTTTAGGCCCCTAGGTTAATTATTTAAGCTATATCAATAAATATAAGCTCGTGTTCGTGTCAGTTCGAGTGTTTTTCAGAGAATTAGTAAGGAAAAGAAGAATTATATAATACATATGAATATATATATAATTATATTTACAGAAACATGTTATATTGTTAAATCTAGTTGTAAAAAGTACTTTTTAATTATTGATTTGAAGGAAGCATAAGACCTAGGTTCTTTATTTTTTGTGGGAAGATTATTCCACACATCTATGCCTTTATTGGCAAGGGTATGTTTGGTATAGTTTGTTCTGTTACTCCTTTTGTGTAGCAACGAAGAATTTCTTGTGTTATGATTATGAATTTGCTTATTTGTCAAAAAGTAGTTTATGAATAATTCTGGTAGATTCTGTAGATGAAAATACCGGAACATGAATATACTCGTTAAATAATAATTTATTTAAGTTCTTTGTATGTTTGCATGGTGATAAAATATAATAGGTTTTGTTTGTGGAAACACCACGTAAATTTATTACTGCAAAGCTTTCGATCCGTAAGCCCGGATCTTCATCATATTATTATTAGCACTGATGAAGATCCGGGCTTACGGATCGAAATCTTTGCAGTAATAAATTTACGTGGTGTTTCCACAAACAAAACCTATTAATAATTTATTTTATGTAAATTTTAGTAATTCTTAGACTTTAATAATTATTAATACGATTTGTATATCTACCTTCCGTTAGTTTATGAGGATTAAACAGTATTGCATTAACCGAGCTTGGTTTACTGGCATGCAGGCACAAAATTTAGACGACATATTTATGGGAAATATTTTGGCTATAAATAGTTTACAGCTGCCTTAATAAAAATATTTAATGGAATAACATATTCTCTGACATCAAAATAATACTGAAGTCTAGATTGAAGGATATGGCCATGCACTACCCCAGGTCAATGGTTGAAGAAAATGACCATGTATCACCCAGGCCAATGCTAATTATGCATAAAATAACATATATAAATGGCAGAAATGAAATGTTTTTATTTGCTAAAAAAATTATCATGCCAAACTTTCAAATGCCATTTTTTTTTAAATTTTTCCATTGGTACTATTCTACAATGAGGTATACTCTTGGATACCGTTACCTAAATACATATGATGACGAAGAAGTGGCATTTATCGGACAGAAAAGCGGCGAGGAATTGCAATGGCGGCAATTTGACGAAATATCGAAGGACACAATATCGAAGATAGATGGCCATTTATCATTATGTAAAAGTACAAAGACTGGGCGATATTTGCGATAAAAAGCAAACAAGACGGCAAAATATGGCTGAATGGGGGTAAATGAAATAAAAATGTGTTATGTATTATAAAAATGTATTATATTTACAGAAAACATTCATCAATAACACTGCTTCTTATGAAATACACAATAATTGTATTAAATTAAGCATAGTTTATCATCCCATAATATTTTTTTAGGAAAGAAGGAAATTTAATTTTATGCATACGTAGCAGTTGACCTGGGGTGATGCATGGTCATTTCCTAGAAAAATATTGTACTTAGACAAATTTTCCCTTTCAATAATTACCCATAAAAGCAACAGTTTTAAACGCTATATGCACTTTAGAAAGGCTGTCGCTTTTGCTTTTCGGAAGTTAGAGCTATTTCGGCACTCCCATTCAGTACAGGGTCATTTTCAGGACTTTCGCCCCGGATTCAGGTTTTGGCACATATGCCATGTTAACCGCCATGGTTATTTCTTTCTAAAACAGTTAACATTACCTGCGATAAATGAAGCGTATACAAACTTCTGTATAGGTCTTGGAGTGGATGGAAAGATTTAATTTTGAAATAAATTTATTATTAAAAAAATATTTTATAATTTACGTCAATAACACATCATAAAGGTATTCAGTTCTCAAATCAAAATAACTTACCCCACTGTCGGATCCACTGCTATATCCCAGTTATAAAACCCTGCTTTTGTCACCACTCGTTTCCCTTTTCCGTCTAAATACATTACGTTGACCCGCCCATCTGGGAACTGAGACACCCAGATCATTTTGCGCCCTATCCAGTCAATTGTTATTTTCCGAACTTCAACATTTTGCAAAAAGACTTCAACACTGGTGCCATCAAAGTTTGCTCTGGATATGCTGTTGCCGTTTCTGAAGTATATTTTCATTTCCGCTTTGTCAATTGCCATCCCGTAATTCTTTTTAAGGCCAGGAATAACGACAGTTTTATCATCAGTTAGCAAATCAATTGCGTGGATTCCAGAATCGTCATTGATAAACAGATAAGGTTCGGGATACGGACCTGAAAAAACATCAAAAGGGAATATATTTCTAAATTTGTATCAGTTTTCAAATGGCGCATAAAATTTGCTTGGTACATCGACGCACCAGTAACATGTCATCCAGTGTCCTAGGATATCATCCAGTATAGCTTACGATATCATGATGTATCCTAGGATACCATGCATGCAACATGTTGGGATATCAGCCAGCATTTTAGGATATCACATTGTGTTTTACGATATTACCGAATATCGTAGACTATCTTATAATTACGATCACCTACTACATGTGTCTTGGAAAATCATGACATAAAACTGACATTTGAATTATGATTATTCTTCGGGTGTAATATTCGGATTTCTAAGGTAGATCTAACAGCCAACATACAGCTTTAATTCATAGGTATCTTTAAAGTGGTGACACCAATATTCAGACTTGTCGAAATTATGGAATTTATTTTGAAAGTATTTTAATAATTTCAGAAGGGATTTTTAATTAAAGAAAATTGCCATTTATCATGGGCGTACGGGAAGGAAAAAATTAGGGGGGGGGCGGAAATAAATTTTTTGCCCGACTTTTTCGGATTGAGCCCCCGTTGTTAAAAAAATTTTCCAAAGAAACTTTCCAAAATTGTTGTCGACGGGGGGGGAGGAGTGATAACGAAAAATCCTATCAGATAGCATATTTCCCACAAAATTGACAGAATTTGTCCCATTTTTATAATAAGCCAATATTGCCCGACTGTGAAGCGAATATTGCCCGAGTGGCTTTGTTTGCCCAACCAACTGGGGGGGGGGGCGCTGCCGCCCCCTCCGGCCCCCCGCCCGGTACGCCGATGCCAACTATGCCTGGGACGCATCGCATATCGATTGTGTCCATGAGAAATTTCATATGGACATCTTTCTGGACCCCCCCCCCCTCCCCTCTTATAAACGTCAGACATAGTTATCGATATTTTGTTCTTATAGTACACATAACTTCATAAGGTAATTTTCTACTATTTTCTTCGGTTATCAATAGCCATTGGCGATGCTTCCGCGAGGAATATGTCATCTTCTGCTGACTTTTTTTATTATTATATGAACTTAAATATTTCCAACGTTTCTCAAATCAACTTTCTCTGCATGATATATTGCCAATTTTAGCGCGTTTTTCTTTAAATTTGAGTGTTTTCAAGGAAGGCTTAATAATATAAATGTATAGAAGAGATATGGTGTTATGAATGTATGGACAGGTGTTTGTATCAAGTTGTTTTCTTTCAGTATATTCTGCAAATATATGTTAAGGCTTTCGAAAACACTATCGAATTTTCATCCATGATGTTTTACAGTGAAACGTCACAGCTGCAAATTCCCACCCAAAACAAACATATAACGTTTCTCGTAGACAAAATGGATATGATGAGGCTTCCTTTAACCATTAAACTGATGTTTTATGCAAATGAGGAAAGTCCAGGCTGGAAATAAAACAAAGTCGTGAATTCACTTTTATTGGCAAAAATTATGGAAAACAGAAAGGTTTGGGCGGTCCCCCTTGCCCACTCTCTGCCTCGCACTAACGTTTTATAAGAAGGGACGTAACAAGACGTGATAATTGATAATTGGGTGGGGGGTGCATATTCATATATTCATGTTCACAACCGTTAAAACGATCACTTCAAAAGAAAATAATAGGGCTAAACACGAATATAATAATATGCAACCCCCCCCCCCCCTTATCGCGTCTAGTTATGATCCTGTTTAGAAGGCCAGATCTCTTATTACTTGCTTTAAAAGAACCTTTATGAAAGTATTAAAATATTTTAGCCCATTTTCCATAATTTGGACAAATCCGAATATTGGTGATTCCATTGTAGATGATACTAGAAAGCCAACAGTTTTTCATTTTTATCAGCCAATAGAAACTGCTATTTTGAGGTGAGTATACGTAGTAATACCGGAAAATGTAGTCAAGGGTGTTTTGTTGTTGTAAGTGTTTAATGCAGAATACCTGCAAGAGAAGTGTACTAACATTTACCCTTACCCAATACCCTAACCCTATCCTAAACACAATCCTTGCATGCCAGAAAGTGGTTTTACCGCCTTCCTGTTGTTTTCCTTGTGTTCAGTATCAAATTTACACATTTAGTGCAAGCCTACGCAACTGGGTACTTCTCGGGGATGCTCTGTAAATTTCCAAGAATTTCATTTTTTAAATTCATGATTTGAGGCAAAGTTTCAATTCTTAATATAAACGATGACCAACAATAAATTTTAAAATGTTTTGCAGAGACTATATACTGATTAGAATACATTTACTTAATATATAAAAACCACATGGCGGAAATTCAGTAGAGAAGCGACACAAATCATAACTCGCATAAATATGAAATGTTTTGATAAATAATAAAAAAAGACATCTGAAACATATTCTATTGAATAGTTCACCAGCCTAGCAAGGACGGAGCATAGAAATGAGAGAATGTTCAATAAGAATACGCTGCCATGAAACTTGTGGACAACTTTCAAGTACGAAAGAATGACATAGTCCAAAACGTTAGCGTATGGATGTACATTGTAGGTGTGTAGTTTTGTGGTGATAAATGAAAACCGTTCATGCGGTTTAATCTAATTTAGATTTTGTTCATAAATGATTTTTCAAAATAAATATGTTTTGAATTCTGGAATGGTGCAATGTTACCTCGATGCATGCAAAGCAATGTGAACTGCTAAAATAATTTTCTCTCATGCTTATAAATTTATGACCCTCTTACATAAACATTTTAGCCTGAACGTTAACTTTCAAAACGCAGTATACATGCCCTCCACCGTACTTGAGTAATGCATTCACGGATTGATTAATTAATTAAACCTCCAGTCCACTTTATTTGTCATTTGTAAAATAGAATACCATATTTACCTTTATAAAAGCACAATTGTGTTTGCATTTTCATTCGGTGCTGATTTTGTTCGTTCTCTGCTGCACAGCAAGACGAATTAGGCACATGGACTGTACCATTCAAGCATTTTCTTCGCCAGTCTTTCACGTCATTTTTTAGTTCTTCCAAGCGCTTATTACAGAACGGAATATCTTCATTACAAATGACCAGACTTCCACCAAAATATATCAAGATAAGAAGGCCGACAATGATATTTGTTGCTGCAAAAGTCATTCTTCTTATCTCCTGGTAATTGATTCGTTCGAACGTGAACGCCATCTGTATAAAAAGAGTTTGAAGTTGTTATAAATGTAATAATTTTCACGTCCCATTGATTCATGCTCACATATGTTAAGACACGGGAGAAATTCTGATCACAAGCCAGCTGGAACATCTTCGCGAAACGACTTATGAGGCAGAAGTGATCCGTCGCCCATCCAACTAAAACCAAGTTAATTAATGTATATATGATTGCGACTTAATTAAATTTTCTACAATGATTTGCGATTGCTTCGGTCATTGATGAAAAACTAGTTTCATATTATTCTGACACTGCATGCAGAGAGGAACAAAATATTATTTGTCTCGAACGGGTACCCGAACTCGCACCTTCGGGTATCTAGACTGCCTCTCTACTCTTGAATTGAGAAAACCAATTCAACGGGATTGATGGCGTGATTTATATTTTTTTGGATAAATTAGTAGAAAATTAGTAGAAAATTTGAAAATTATTATTTAGTTTTTTATCAATAAGATATCTGCGAATGGTTTTAGGGAGGGGGGGGGGGCAAGGAGGCCAAGCCCCACCCCCCCCCCAAGTTTTCAGAAACCACAAAAAGTGCCCTCTTTCCGGTGGCAAAGCGCGCTTTGCCTTCGTGAAAAATGTTCTTCAGATTTGCATTTTTGACTAACGATGTTGCAAAGCAACAACTGCAAGTCTTTGTGGTTACTTGAATGGGGGGGGGGGGGGGC